GGCTTTTGTACTGGTAACTGAATTGGTGAGGCATTTTGGGCATACTGTAGTTGAGGGAGCAAGAAATAACCACTGTGGGAGCTTGTGAGTAGAAGTATGATAATTGTTAATCTCAGGAAACTGAGTCATACAACTGGGATTCTCCACTTCTAGATTCCAAGAATGTACCATAATGGGATAGGTTTTGTTTGTAGGTTACAGAGCAGAACCTATTTGACAATCTTTATCTCTCAGCCCTAATGCCCTCCTTTTAGCCTGATAGCATCTAGGAATGGAATTATTTAGAAATTGGTAAGACCCACCACTAGGACAGTGGTGGAAGTTGTAGATGGGAGTTACAGCTTGATTCATCTCTATGACCAATTTGTCTTAAAAATGGACTTTTTTTTACCCTGAGTGGGCCAGAGGTAGCTGTTTAAGGTTCTTTTTAGTCATTAGGGCTAAAATTGGGTTCCGGCTACATATGGAGGTGGGAGGTTATAAATACATTATCAATGGAATATTTGGTAATTATGTAAGACCATAAGTGTTTGGGGAGAAGGGTGGTGAGAGGGAAGAGGGTTTCACACATTTCATGATGGAAGAAACACTTTCTGAGGGAGGAGAGGTTCCATTTCCTTCAATATATTCTAAACAAATTCAAGTGACCTTTGCATATGAAACTTCTTTCTTTGGTTAGAGACCACTTCCTTTTCCTATAGATGGGGGTAGGCAGAGGTAGGGTTTGGGGGGCTGCTCACCTCAGAGACCAGTTTGTTAATCTGTAGTGTGGGGCTAGAGGAAGTAACTGCTGTGGCCAGCAGAGTATTTTAGAGCATGAAGTAAGTGTGAGTGTGTGTGTGTGTGTGTGTGTGTGTGTGTGTGTGTGTGTGTATGTGTGTATGTATGTGTGCATGCACTTGCAAGCACATTAGATTTGATTTTAACATGGTTTTGTGTGGACAAAGAGCCTTGCCCCACTTTAGTTATTTCATTTAGCAAACACTAGAAAAGTGCCTCTTAGAGGGGATAGGGAGCAGTTGAAAACTGAGGAAATGACTTGATAATACTAAACATTTAGGCAGCACTTTATATTTATATTTCTCATATTGCTGTTCAGCCATTGGTCAGTATCATTACCTCTCTCCTCCTCTACATCTCCTGAGACTAGTGCAGTAAATCCAGAGGCACTAGGAGATTCACTCGCCCCATCCCCTGAAAATCCAGTAGGAGAATCAGGAATCAGGCCCTTGAGTTCAACTATCCTCCTTCTTCTTGCTCCATTCTGCCATTTTACACTTGCAGACACTTTTTAGGAGATAGATTTCCCAACTCAGAGCCACTGGGGTGTTGGCAGGCGAAACATCAATTGGCAGATTCGTCCCTGGATTTGGTAATTGCTCAAAACTAGACTTTTTCCTTCATCTCTTTTTTCAGTTCAGTTCATTTTAAAAAAATATTTTATTTTGCACTTAATAAACACCAAATAAAATGGGCATTTGCATATATGTGGTAGAATAGAAAGAAGAGGATTGTACTTGAAATTGCAGATATTTATTTCACACCCCTTGTTTTTCTTTATGCTTTCTGGCCTTCTTTCCATTCTTTGCATTTTTTTTTAAAGATGCCTCAAAGACCCTCTTTTCTTATTTTTGCTACTCTGTCCCCATTCCCTTTTAACTTCCCTGGCCCCTCTTCTCCCTTAAAAAAGAAAAAGAAAGCCCTTGTAACAAATATGCATTGTCAAACAAAACATTCCCACTTTGGCTATGTCTTACTTGGCATCTTGAGTCTATCAAGTTAGTTAGCAAACTCGGTCATCTGTCCTTGGGAATTGTGGTTGATCATTGCATTGATCTTCCAGAGTTGCTTTTCTTTCAAATGTTGTTACTATATAAATTGTTCTCCTGATTCTTCACTTTGCCTTAGTTCATTTTAAATTCAGTTCAACAAATATTCATTAAGCCTCTATTATGTGCCGGGCACCAAGTTCAGAGCTCAGGATACAAACATAAGAGGAAATGTTCTTGCCCTCCTAGTCATTTCCCAATATATTTCCCTCCATAGAATCCTCTTTTGTAACAAAGAAAAACAGTTAAGCAAAACAACTGCTATGGGTAGCAAATACAACATGTAGTTCCTGAGCCTCTTTCCCAAGACCGGGAAAGTGTGTTCCAGTCGCTGTTCTTTGGGTTTCAGGACTGGTCTTTGCAACAAATCTGAGTTTGACTGTCTTGTATCATTTAGATTTCATTGTGTACATTCTACTGGTTCTATTTATTTTGCTCTTCATCACTTCATACATACATGTTTTTCTGTTTCTTTTGATATTCTCACGTTCGTGATTTCTTCCTGTGCAATAGGATTCTACTACATTTGTATGCCACAATTTGTTCAGCCGTTCCCCAGTCAGTGGGCACCACAGTGCTGCTCCTATCTTAGTTTATATGGGGGCTTTTCTTTCTTTTACCTCCTTGGAGTGTTAGCCCAGTAGTGGGATTACAAGGTCGAATTGTTCATCTCTTTTAAAAACACTTCTCCAAAGCTCCATTCTATACAGTGAAGATGATAAATGAGTAACCACACCCAGTCTCCTTGCTGGTAAGATGGAGCTGTTCTTTCTTCTGGAAGGGAGGGGTGAGAAGGAAAGGAAATCCAGTGACTGAATGTTTTAGTGGAGATATTTGTCTAATTGTTTTTCTCTTACGTACACTTAGCCCTGCTGGCTATCTGGAGGCTTTTGCTCTTTCTAATCAACTACTTTAAGGGGGAATCTGGAAGAGTTAAAAGCACCTGGGGCACGGTTGACCTTTCAACCATTTATTACTTTAGTCTTCAGAGTTGGACAGTAGCATTAGTCCAACCTGTCTATCTCACTTGGCAAGCACTTTCTCCTGGACTTCGGAGTGACTGAGCAGTACTGTAATGGGAACAGGCAGAGGACTGGCTCTAACAATTGAGACATCTCCGGTTCTCAGAGAGCCATTGTGACGTTTCCTGTCTCTGCAGTGCTCTACACCAGTTGCTGCGGCAAATCTGTCTTACAATGCACTGTGTTCCTGTCTCTAAGGCCTGACTGAGCTGATCCATGTTTCCCTGCCCCCACTTTTTCTGTTCCCCCTCCCCCAGTGCTTCTTCCTTGAATGGGGCCTCTATTCTCTTAGGAGAGGGCTGGGAAATTTCCAGCTGTTTATTTGGGGCTCCACCCATCCCAGGGGGGAGTGTGTGAGTTTGAGGGGGGGAAGGGGCTCAAGCCTGGGTACTTGGCTCAAGTTCCAACCTGTGGGAATCTCTGAGGTAGTACCTATCATTTACCCATCTCTCTCTCTCTACTTCCAAGGTCAGGACTTCCAGAGGATAGATGAGGACCACCTCCTTGGGTTGCATCCTGGGTTGAGGGTTGCAGACAGCAAGTTATCCTTCTCAATATGCTTTTTAAAATCTTTTTATCCAACTGTTGTATAATGCTTATATGCAACTCACATTTAGATAGCACCTTTAAGATTTAAAAAATAATGTTTCCCTTACAACTGTTTGCAAGTATTATTGTCTTTGTTTTACAGAAGAAGAAAATAAAGTCCTGAGAGGTTGTGATTTGCATATGGTCATATAGTTAGTAAGTGTCTGAGGTGGTGTTTGAACACAGATCTCTTGACTAAAAGCTAGTGCTCTTTCCGTTATACCATACTTCCTCTCCCTGTGTTAGCTTCTAGTGATAAAAGGAAAGACAAGACATAGTCCTGCCTTCATGCTGACTTCAGTCTGGTTGTATCCAGTTGTAGGCATAAGGCAAACGCATGTTAAAATAGCTGTAATATAGGGAAGTTTATGTGTCAGATAAAAGGGTCTAGATAGTAAGTGCCGTGGTATTTTACAAGAGAGATCATGTGGTGGGCAAGGTGATTAGGGAAGGCTTCACAGAGGAAGTGAGATTTGAGTTGGGCCTTGAGGGGTGATTAGATTTTGATAGATGGAGAAGAGACAGCATGCAAAGAAAAGGTGGAAGGCAGGAAGACAGAAAGACTCTTCCAGGGATAGAGAGGAGAGTAGTCTGTATGGAATTAGAGTTCCTGTAAGGAAGTAGTAGGAGAGGAAAGGCAGATTGGGACCAGATTATAAAGGGCCTTGAATGCCAGGGTAGGGAATTTGCATCCAATATATTCTGTGCTCAGTAGGGACTTATTAAAGGTCTTTGAACCAGAAAGCTAATTCACTAATTTACAGTTGGATATACCTCTACAGATTGTGACTAATGTTCTGCATAAGACGCATTCACCTCAGTGGGTCAGCACATTCAGGAAACCTGAATGACAGTTCAAAAAGTTGTTTAGTGAAAACTGAATCAGAATGAAAGGAATTGGATGTTCTCAAATGGTATTTTAATGCTGCTCTGATAATTTATGTACCTCCATTCTCTAGAGTTATTTTTGTCAAAAGAAGAGGTCTCTTTTTTTGAGTCCGGAACACCCTGTCTCCCTTGGCCAGGCCTGCTGCCACCTTGATGTATTTTGATGTGCCAGCTCTCCTTTTCTTGGATTCCATTTTAACTCTGTACTCCTAATGGCTAGTCTCAAGTGTGGTAGGTGTGTTCCTGTGGCCTCCAAAGACTCCCTTTGTGATCTTCAGTTTATCTTGCCTCCCATTTAATTTTTAAGTCAGACACTTACACTGGGATATCTTAGCCATCCTCTGCTCTCTACCGTTGTCTGCTTTGTTTTGTTTTTTCCTTTCCTACCTGTCATATCTTTGTCTTCCCTTTGGTCTCTTCTTTGGCCTAATTATGTCATTTTAGCTTTTGTAGACATATGTTATACATGTTGTTGTCTAGGGTTGTGGTTGGTCATTTGGCGCATATAGTACTGTTCCTCTAGAGAGCTGGGTAGCTGGAAGTTGTGTACCCCATAGGCAAATAGGGAACACTCTGCCTGTTGTAGGCTTTAGGAAGTTCTTGCCTTTAGGAAAAATAGTGGCATCCTTGGGTGGCATCTAATGTTAGTGTTTTTCTCTTTTTTTCCTTGAAGGTTTGTCAGAAGACTTGAAATTCTGTGTGCTCTATTTGGCAGAGGTGAGTACTTTGTATTTGGGGTCATCCTCTTGAGCAGCAGGGCACAGCGGTGGTGCCTTTTGCTCTTCAGTGAGGGGTGGGAGGGGTGGGCCGAGCCTTTGGCTTACAGGGCCTGTAGTCCAGGCCCTTCCCATTTGTGAGGCAGTATGGTTCAGTGGAAAGGCGGCTGAATGTGGAATCAAGAGATAATGAGTTTGAATCCTGGCTGTGACCCTAGCTTTGTAGCAGTTACAGACAAGTCTCTTCCCTTCTTGGAGCCTTCATTTTTTCACTTGCAAAGTTGGGATAATAATGCTTGCACTAACTCACAGGGCTGGGTGAAGAGCACTTTGGAAACCTAAAAAGAGCTGTAGAAATGTGAAATGTGGGCTTACCTATGCTGTTTAATCTCTGTGGGCCTTGGTTTTTTTATTTTTTAAGAGAGGCATAATAATTATCTTTGTCTCCCTAACAGAAGTGATAAGAGGATTAAAATGATAATAGATGTGAAATTGTTTCAAAAATGTAATGCTGTTCAAATATAAGGTCATCACAGTGCCAAGTACATAGTAGGTACTTAATAAATACTTGGGACTTGATTTATTTTGTTCCCAATTTTCAGTGAATTGGATAGCTCTGGCTTCTGTCAAGCATGTGTGACTGAGCAAATAGCTTCTCTTCTCTTGCCTTCAGTTTCTGCTTCTGTAAAAGAAAGGGGCTTCAACCAGATGGTCTCCAAGGTCCCTTTAATGATGATGATGATGATGATGATTATACGTAATACCTTGTGGTTTACAAAACATTTCACATATATTATTTCATTTGATTCTGACAACCCTATCAGGTAGGTGCTGTTATTATCCTTCTCTTACAGATAAGGAAACTGAGGCTGAGAGAGGTTAAATGACTTGTCAAGGGTCACACAGCTAGTATTTGAGGCAGGATTTTAACTCGGGTCTTCCTGATTCCCAGTCCAGTGGCACTCTCTGTACTATACTTCTTAGTTCTAACTGCACCTTGAGCTTTAACATCTGTGTTTCTAAGAAGAAATGGTCCCAAATTAAAGGAGGAGAGATTTGAGTTATATATAAGGAAGAACTTGTTTAGTGGGTAGGTAATAGCATTAGAACAGAACAATGAGCGAGGCTATGGAATCTCTTTCCTGGGAGAGCTTCAAGATAGCCATTCTTCTAGGTGGTGCAGTGAATAGAGCTCTGGCCTTGGGAGTCAGGAGGACCTGAGTTCAAATCTTGCCTCAGACACTTAACACTTACTAGCTGTGTGACTCTGGGCAAGTCACTTAACCCTAATCACCTCACCAAAAAGCAAAAAAAAAAAAAAGATGATGGCCGTTCTTCCTGGGTGGTTTAGAGAATCACTTTCTTTGAAGTCAGTAGATTTGACTAGATGACTTCTCAAGGTTCCTTCCAGCTCTATGATTCTGTGATTCTAATTCCCCTGGGTGGCATCTGCACAGAGACCCTGAATTTCTTTAATGGTCAGCAAAATTCCATTTTGCTGGGCTCAATTTGTTTTTCACAAAGAAAAACGCTTTTCCTTGGGTCATTGATCTCTAGGGGCCTGTAGCCTGCCACTCTGCTAATGATTGATGAGTACATATTGATTTTGGGCCTTTCCCTTCACTGATGTACAGAGATCATCTCTGCTAATCTGATGCAGAGGCATTTAGGGATAGAAATTTTGTAGTGACCAAAGAATAATCTCTTTTTCTCTTAATGGAATAGTAATTATAATGAAGGGGAAGGATAGAATGATGAGGAGAGGAGGGAAAAGGAAAGGAGAGAAAGAAGAGGAGAGAGGTTAGAGTAGGGGAGGGAGAGAGGGAAGGGAGAGAGAGAGAGAGAGACTGAATATTTTCTTTTATATGAGTGGCTCAGGATTTTCCAGGAAGAGTTTCTATAAATGAATTATATTGAGAGTCCAGAAACCCATAGTTTAGCCTATATAGTAGTTTCAAATGGCCAGACATATTATCAGAATGGCTATCAAGGAGTTTCCTTTCTTTTCTCTACGCTCTGGCAGAAAATAGGTTGCCAATACCTTCCCCTCTAAGGTTACCTTGTATCTACTTTGTATGTATTTTCTGTGTGCGTATACATTATATACAATATATTATAAAATATTATATATAATATGCTAGTTATACTGTATGTTATTAATATGCTATTCCATATATTACTAACACAATTGATATTGTTAATTATATTAATACATATTATGTACACATTTTCTTCCCTGTTAGAATGTAAGGTTCTTGAGGATAGAAATTTTTTGGAATCCCTGTCACTTAGCATAGTGCCTGGCACATAGTAGGCACTTAATAAATGCTTATTTATTTATTATATGTAGGAAAAACTAGAGATTTTATCTGTCAAACAGATAAAATTATATGTTTTTCATTATCTGGAATAAAATATTAGATGTTGGTGTGAGGCAAAGCTGCAGTTGTTACCTAATCAAGAAATTGTGTGTTGAAGTCTCTTGAATATGCCTTTGGTACCTGTGTCTTGACCTTTTGGGGAAGTATTGTTTAGCCATCATAGGCCCAGGAGATAGGTAAAATTCTATGCCCCGCGTTAGCATGCCATAATACATAAACATTCATTGAAGTTGGCCAGGGAAGCTGTGTTTGAATTTTGGGTTCCAACTCGTGGTAAGGTTAGTGCTTTCTTTTAATTTACCACCACCTGGTGACCTGCAGAGTCATGGCAGCAAGATAGTAAAAAGCAAAAAAAAAAAAGCAACAACCCACCTCCCCCCAAAACAAACAAAAACAAAAAAACAGAACCTGGCAGTGCTTCAGACTGCAGGAAGGTTGAAAGAGGATTTTGGTCTCTGACAAGACCAGCCTGATGGGACAGTGTACTATGATCAGCATTGTTGTTCTGGTTTAAAACATACGAGGGCATTGTCTCATTTGCATAGTATTAAAAATGGGTCACTCTTAAGCAATTATGGAAAGAACCCATGAGGTTTAGGATCTGTTAGAAAGACTGTTGAAAAGCAAGGGCTAGGAAACAATATTTCTGCTTTCTTTTATTAAAATTCTGTGTTCAGTTCTGGTTACCACAAAAACATTCAGAAAATAAACAAAGTCCAGAGAAAGAAGAAAACTAAAAAAGATCAGGACAATGAAAGGCAGCCTTTCTATGAGGAGAGATTGGGGAAACAGAGAGGGGTCTTCCTTGTCTGAGAGGAAAGCTAAGGGGTCACTTGATGAGTGGATTGTAGTAGATGTGTGGTTTCAGTGAGGGGAGGAGGGATGGTATAGGGGGAAAAAGAAGCACATTGAACATTGGAGTCAGAAGACCTGAGCTGGGCTCTGCCCACTTAATATTGGGGTGACCTTGGTGTTACTTCCCCTCTGTGGGCCTCAGTTTCTTCACTGGTAAAATGAGAGCATTAGACTGGATGCCCTCTGAGGTCCCTTCAGTCTGAACTTGTTTGATTGTGTAGAATACTAAAGAGCTATTCTCTATGTTCTCAGTCTCAGTGTTTTTTTTTCCCCATGGAAGAGAGAACAAGAGAGAATTAGCCGAAATTAAAGGGCAGCTAGGTGGTGCAATGGATAGAGCACTGGGCCTGAAGTCAGGAAGTCTCATCTTTACAAATTCAAATCTGGCCTCAGACACCTACTGGCTGTGTGACCCTGGGCAGGTCACTTAACCCTGTTTGCCTCAGTTTCCTCACCTGTAAAATGACCTGGAGAAGGAAATGACAAGCCACTCCCCGAAAGCAGTTACAAAGAGTCTGAAATGACTGTACAACAACAACTATGATATAACTCCTTAAGAGACTGTCTTTGTGGCAGTTAGGTGGCCCAGTGGATATGGCTTGGAGTCAAGAAAACCTGAGTTCAAATCCAGCTTTAGTCACTTACTAGGTGTGTGACCCTGGGCTAGTCACTTATTTGATAAACCATGCTTTCTTTTTGAAAAAAGATATTTATTTCATTAAATATTTCCCAATTGCTTAATTTTTAAAAAAATATTCTTCTTCCTTTTTTTTTTTTTTTGGCAAGGCAATTGACGTTAATTCACTTGTCCAGGGTCATACAACTAATAAGTGTCAAGTGTCTAAATCCAGATTTGAACTTAGGGCCAGTGCTCTATTCACTGTGCCACCTAACTGCCTCTAACATTCATTTTTAAAAATTTTGATTTCCAGTTGTCTCCTTCCCTCTTGTCCCTCCTCCCTGCCCTTTGAGAATGGAAGTGATATTATATCACTTATGCATGTGAAGTCATGTAAAACATATTTCCATATTAGACATGCTGCAAAAGAAAACTTATGAAAAAAAAGAAAAGGAAAGAAAGTGAAAAAAGTATATTTCAATCCATGCTGCAAAAGAAAACTTATGAAAAAAAGAAAAGGAAAGAAAGTGAAAAAAGTATATTTCAATCTGTACTCAGAGTTCATCAGTTCTCTCTCTGGAGGTGGATAACATTTTTTAAATTATCTTGGATCATTGTCTTGGTCAGGGTAGCTAAGTCTTTCACAGTTGATCATCATTACAATAATACTGTTACTGTGTATAATGTTCTCCTGGTTCTGCTCACTTCACTTTGCATCAGTTTACATAAGACTTCTAGGCTTTCCTAAAACCATCCTGCTAAAGTTGTTAGTTGTTTCAACTAGATTTTTAATCAATTCTTTAGGGTTCTCTAAGTATACTATCATATATACATCATAGTCTTATTGCTATAGCAAGCATTTCTAATATAATATTAAATAATAGCAGTGATAATGGACTTCCTTGCTTTACCTCTGATCTTATTGGGAAGGCTTCTAGGAAAACATGTTTTTCAAAGAAGTGCAAATAGTCCAAGTATAGAGCACCTGGCAAAAATACTTGTGACTGACCATTTTATCTGATGGTAAATGGCTAATGTCCCCTTAGCACCATCTGCATCCTCCTCTTCAGTATTTGCTAATCACAACTTGATTGTTTCTTTACCCATACTGGCAACCAAAGCTGTAGCCGCCATCAGAGTTCCAAA